TATATATATATATACATCTTTACACCTTATCTACACAGCTACATGTACATACTTTCTACCACCCAACCTCTCCGAACCCCCCTGCAGTCTACCCGCCTCGGGTGTGGTTTGGTGATTCTGGTGTGACAAAGGCAGGGAGAAGATTTGCGCATCCTGTTTACTGGATTGAGGTGAAAGCATCGAGAACAGTGGAAAAACTACGCCTCAGTGACTCAGGGGAGTAAACCAAGTAGTAGTACTACTACATTCACAATGGAAGCAAAATGAAGAATGCAACAGCAAAATTGCAACAAACTTACAGTGTCTCAACCTTCTCCATCTGGTCTACTACCGATTGTCTTAGTTGCTGTTTTGTGGAGGCGCTTTCATGCCAAGAATGCGGCCGAAGGCAAGCTCGGCAATGAGCAGCACTGTCCTAAAGGGCCATTCTTTCATTTCAATCCCTTCAAAGCAGCTTGGAAGAAACAACAATCACAAGAAACTGAGAGACAGTGGAGCCAGTTGAGGCTACGGCCAAAGGAGGGAACTGGCTCCAGTCAGGAAGAGTCCACAGGTTTGCTGGTCCTCAAGACAGGTGAGATGCTGAAGGGACCGGAAAGAAATCATTGCCGACAAACTCGGTATCGAAGCGCTCAAGACTGGGCAATCTAGCATTGCTTGCAAGGTGAAATGTCCAGAAAGCTCCCACCCAGGGCATTATGAGAAGCACCTCGGCTTGACCCAAAGCTGTGTTTCCCTCATTGTTCCTCCTCAGAGCAACGTCCACTGGGTCTCAATCTACTTTCAGCGCCAACCCAATGCTTGAAGCCTGAGCAATGTCGTTACCAATTCGTTAATCCTCGAGCCTTCATCTTCCAACAATTCACTTTAAACATTAAACTCGCCACAGTGATTGTCAAACTGGTGTGATACCTTGCAAAACTTCTAGCACAGCTCCAACTGCAGCTAAATGAGAGGCTATGTCAAAGGAGGAAAACTAGGATAGTCTCATTCGGCGGCGACACATGTAAGTAAGTCCAAAACCGTGTGTGATTAAGACCGCCCTTGATGAGGAATGTGATGCAGGTCGAATCAAGCAAGACGCCAAGGTCATGACTTTCACCAGTTGATCTTCTGATTGGGCAATCAAGGATTCATCAAGCCATCCAACCACCAAGCTGGCCAAACCTAGGTTGCATCTCTGATGCAATTCCGCGAAGGTAAAAGCAACTGCGTTGCATGCTTGCTTCTGTTTCATTGTTTCATATGTCGCATGCTCGGGCGCAACTTGGGCGCTTTGCCAAGGCTACCAAACCATGTGATAAGCCCATCCAAATCCTGTAGACAAAGCAAGGTTCGCTACTAGGAGCAAAAGGGCAGCGCTACGGCTACTAGGAGCAAGAACGCTACTAGGGGCTCCTGGCCGTACTACTAGGAACAAGGACGCTACTAGGAGCAAAGGGTGCATGCGCACGACGCTGCAAAAGGAGCTCAAAGATTCATCGCCTTGGGACACCGGTCGTCCCCATGCTCTGCACCTCACGTGGCAGCTTCAAGAGTTCATTCAAGTTTCGGGGCCACTTGGCAGCAAACCCAGAACAATGAGCCAAAGAAAGAAGCCAAATGGGAGCACCAGCCTTACATCTCCCAGCTTGAAAGCTTTGAAAGCTGGAAGCACAACTTGACATGCTAACTACTTGGAAAATACAGAACGTGGATTTCAGCTCTGAACGCTACAAGGAATATCGCTGCCTGGATTAAGAACCAAACTGCCTCGGTCGGAAAAACACACTGGCGAAGCAAACTGGGGTCTTCAACAAACGGACTCTATTATTGTTTTGTTTTTGTTCAGGCCTGACCCGCACTGTCGGGATTATGTTCTTCGTGAAAAGCCTCAAAAAGGTTGCAGGAAAAGATCGGAAACTTGCCCTGCAACAACAACCCTTGCCCTCTGCATTTTGGCAGTCTTTGCCTCCTCTTGTAAACACTCTTGTCTTGTTGGACGAAATGGTGGGCTTGATGCTGCATGTCTTCAAGTGTTCGGAGTTCATGAAGTGTTTATTCACTTGCACACCTCATTGGCATTGACAATGGACGAACGAAGCCGGCCAAAAACCTGGGGAGGAATTGAGGGAAAGCAGTTCAATACTTGTCGTGCTGAGCTTGCGCCTCAAGGTGGTAGCCCTTCTTTGGAATCCACCGACCTCATCTAGACAAACACGCAGAACGTCAAACACAAGCAGCAAAACCACAAGGTACCCACCATAGCATGCCTTGAGCGTAGTCGACCAAGGCCTCAATCACTTGCAAACATCTCAATTTGTTTCATGCTTCCCTTTTCAAATCCTAGTGCTGAGGAGATGAACGAGTCATTCCTGACCACATTGAGGTACCTGTAGAGAAAACAAATGACAACGGGTTCCAAGATCAATTGAAGTAATTATGCAGCCGCCACAAGACAAGGAAGCCCGGTTTGGTCATCACCGAGCGCTCTCCTTCTCGATTGTACTTATGACTCATGACTCATGACTCTTGAGATTTGGCTACACTGCTAATCACTGCTGAACCAAATGTTCCAAAGATGGAACCCAGGTTTGGAATGACGTGTGCAATGCTCTGTGATCTGGCAGTCTGTAAACCATCGGAAATTTGGATCTAGGCCACACCAGCCCTGCCACTATTTTGGAAAAAAACATGAAGCCAAAGCCAGTCCTGTAGAAATTGGCACCAGGCTTGCGTTCCATTACTCAGATGTCAGATACAGCAACATGGAAACAAGTTGAAAACCGGCAAAGCCAAGTTTGGCAAGGTTGCACCACATCGGCCCAAAAAGGACTGTCATCTTAAAGTGGTTGTATAGTTTGTATAGGCAGCTTGTGAAGGCGTGGTGCTCAAATTGGTTGTCTTAGAGGGCGGATGGCTTGACACTGCGATTCTTCTACTTCACTGTGCCTGTTGTCCTGGCTTGGTTTCACCGTCAAGAAGGCTCATAGAGCGGCATCTAGTATGCAGACAAGACGGTGAGAATTCATTACAGCGAAGGTTCTTCCCGTTGGATGCATCCCCAACTTGCTGTGGAATGCTGCGAAAAGCTTCTGAAGAACAGCTACGGTCACACGGACTGAGGAGGAAAACTCATTGTATAATACAACACAAGTCACAGTACCGGTTCGCGTTTGGGTAAGACAGGATGGTCAGGCCAAGACCTCAATGTCTGGGCAACAAAAGTGCACCGTCACCTTCCGTCACGCTCTTTATCTTCATCCAAACACCTCCTGAACTGAATGGAAGTTCCATTCAATGGATCCTAATAAATGTATCGATGTATATACATCAAATAAATATCATCAAATGTCCAAGTTGAACGATGAGATGTGCATGCTTGATATTTAGTACGTTTTGCTGATCAAGAGCTAAGAAACAGGAGTTGTCACTTCAAACGTATGTGCCCACTACAATTTGCCGCAATTTGCCCTCCAGACCAACCTTTGCCATGACCGGCTAAGTTTCCCTCAGGATTCTGGAGCTGCCAAAATAACGGAACGTAGAAAAAAAACAGTGAACTGAAAAGAATGCAGATCCGCACAGTCTTCCCAGAACAGATACAAAGTATCTTTTTGAAGCAGGGGTGATAACTGCTGCTCTTATCACCTGAAGGTTGAAAACCTTCCACCGCCAATTCTTTTGCAATTAGGTTGGGGGCCGTTGCTTCTAGGGTGGAGGCCATCGTTCTTAGGTTGGAGGCCGTTCCTTCTAGGGAAGCTATCGCTCTTAGGTTGGAGGCCATCGCTTTTAGGTTGGAGGCCTTTGCACTCACTTGCAATCCTGCACATTGGGGAGGTCACCAGGCAGAGATCGCACGAAGCAAGGATGCCCTGCCAGACCCTCCAGCAGCGGCCAGTGCATCTGCTTCGTCCAAAACAGCCTTCACCTCACAGTCATCACTCGAAGTCTCTACGAAGTCACTAAGCCTTGAGGACCGTAGAATTGCAAAAGGAAATTTAAAATGTAAATATTCCAAGGTGTCCAGCTTAAAGAAACGAGTGAACTGAAACATTTGCCTCTGCAGCTGGAACTGTGTAACCTGCAAACTCCATGCAACTGCTGCAACTTTCTATGTTGGCATTTGGCAGAAAGCTCAACTGCTCAAGTGGCCAAACCTTTGTGCTGAGGTTCTGGCCATCATTCAAATCTTCTAAAAGCTGCTGAAGCAAAGCAGAGTCCACTGCGCCGCTGGAAGCAACCTCGTGACATATATATAATTCAAGCATCATCAATGTTTCGATGCCGAGCGCCGCATTTTCAGATCCAAACATTGGTGGTTGCCAAGGTTCTCATGATCTCCTGAAACCAGCACAGCTATGGGTTTCACAACAAAGGGCCTCCTTAAGCTCCATTCAAAGCATGTGCCTGCGGCAAAAAATGGCAATAGTGATGAGCGTGAAACGCATAATGGAGGTTGCCTTCAGCATACAGAAAACGGTCAATTCAATTTTCCGCACATTGAATCATTCAATGGTTTTGTGAAATTTTTGGATGCTCTTGGGGTGCGTCTGGTGCTGGTACACCTGCGACCATTGCAGCACTGTCAGACACCAACACGACAACATCAGTGTAACGTCGCCTTTGACTCCCACGACTTGCCAACTGAAAGGTCCACCGCACAGAATCTGCATCAGTGTCCTCACGCACCGAACTGATTGAAAAACCAAACCCATCCCAGCTGTGTGCAATTCAATAGCACGCCTCACTGTATAGTTCCAGAAGCATGTCTTGCAGTTCTTCTTCTTCAAGCCCGGGATCGATCAGCTCAGAACCTTCCAAATGCGAATCATCTGGACATCGATTCACTGTGTGTCGTGGCCTTCAGATTCCATGGATCTGGGCATGATGTCGCTGATCCGGAGCTCCTGTTGACCCAGCAACAAGAAGCTAGTAGTAACAAGTGCCACGCTAGTAGTAACAAGTGCCACGCTAGTACTGTTTGTGTTGCCAACAACCACCTCGACATTCCAGCTATCACGAGCCCAAAGTCGGCGTGGGCCAGCCTGCAGCTATCAATCTGATTTGTTGTTTGCCCTGCCCCCCCCCCCTCAACTTTGGTCTCACGGTACCGGTCACACCATTTCAAGGAGATGCCTTTGGCAATGACCTCTTCAAAGCCCCACTGCATCGATGTTGGGCAAGATTGCTCAACCAAATGCTGGGGTGGAAAATATTTCGCAACCCGGAGGGGCCCTTCCACATTCGCATCGGGAACAAATCTCAGCTGCTTGCCAGACTTGCACTTTTTCAAAAGTGAAAGGCCCCCTACGGATCCCGGTGGCTGGAGAGTGAATTCCCTCTCAGCGCCAACGAGGCCTTTGCCCCTCGCATGAGGCCTCAAAATGCAATTCACGCTCAACTTGTTCGTATTGAATCTGTTCTGCGTGGCATTACGCAATCCTGCAATCCTGTAAATTTGCTGACCTGAGGCGTTCTGGAAGAACGGCGTGTCGGTGTTTTCCTGGGTGATTGAACTTTGGGTTTCGGATCGCAAATCAAACAGAGCGAGGCTGGGTGAGGCTCTGCGCGGCACGCCCAGGTGCTTCCAAACCAACCGAAGACTCCTGCAATTGCTACGGCAAGAACATCCGTCTGCAACAGCCCTTTAGCGGGACACGTCAGCTTTATCGGATCGGGGTCAAAAGGCCCCCGAATTTGAGAATGAACAGCCGGTTTGCCAAATCAGTCTTTCCAGGGTCTCCCAGTTCCGCCCCGAACCTGTGCATCGAGCCGCTCATCCTGCTCGTCACAGGTCCACCACGAACCCATTCCAATTGTGTTGCGACATGAGCATCATTTAGATTTCTCCTCTCCGTGAAAAAGCCGCATTCCAGCCCACTGAATTCACCACAGTGTGTTCAAACGACCGTCCGCCCCCACACCCCCTTCGTTCCATTGCCACTATCAACTCGAGCTATCACCTGAGGGCTGCAACAATTTTGGCACACAGCACTCAACAATTGAGTATATGAGTCAAGAGGCGAACACTGCAGAAAGACCACAAAGGTTTCATTGGCAAGGAAGGCGGTTATGCGATGAGAACCACGCGGCAAAGGAGCAGTCAGACACCGTTTCAAGATCCACTTAGGAAGGCCCTTAAGCAGTGTGGTTTGGCAGGGAACAGCGAGAAGAGGGTGGAGAAGTCAAGTCCAGGATGCGAAACAAAGATACTAAAGGAAGCACATAGAGGGAAGTCACCAATCACAATGCAAAGAAAGTAACTTAGGTGAATGAAGCAAAGAGTTGATGTCAAATGGCATTATCAAGCCCCCAAAGGTGCATAAGCAACAATTATAATTAGACGTCAACATACAATCTCTCACCAACCACTCCACGCAAGACAAAGGCACTTCCTCCACAATGAGGGAGCCGAGCCACACAGGTGATCCAGAGCAAACATGAGCAAAAAATAGGCAGCAGGTTCGTGAACAATAAACGGCACCGTTCAACTAGACTGATAGCTGATGGTTCTGCTCAAACACAACATCCTCACATCCTTGAGCTTTGTAAGCATCCGTTCTTTGGAAGGGGCAGGAGATGCAAAGATTTGGTGGCTCCAAACCGCTTCAATTCGACCATCAATTTCCCACCAGTTGTTTAAGGTGATCATGTCCGAATGTCCTCAACCTGCTGGAGCTCTCCACCGACAGGTTCTGCTTCCTCCTGGTCACACCTGGAGAGTTCAGTGTCAGCACTTGGCATTCAAAGGACTTCAAACCCCAAAGCCTGCCGGATTGTAATGAAACAATTTGAGGAACCAGTTTCTTGGAACGACTGGGGCGTAAATCAAACGTTGAACAAGTTTGCTACAGTAATCACATGGTGGAAAATCTGCCCTTTGCCACCGTCTGACTTGCATTGATTTGCGTCAGAGTGGCGCGAAAACTTGTTTTTGGGCCTGGTGCGCATGCTGGGACACATTTCTGTTGCAAACTCAAATTCAAGAATTGGTAAACGTGCTCCAAACTGCTTGGGTCTGGACTTCGCAACTTGCTCTTGACCTTGGGAAGGTCCAAAACTGCCATAGGCCTCCTTCAACAAGTGGAAAGCTCTGGGCCGCCAGCACTTCCTCCAAGAGTTGTCGCGGAGGAGGCTCGAACTGGGTGTGGTGCAGCACAACATCTAACATCTGGAACAAGTACGCACTTGTGCAACACTTGGCAAGCACTCAATTGTATTATATACATCTATCTCTCTATCTCTCTACACATGTATGCATGTATGCATGCCTGCCTGCCTGTCTGCCTGTCTGCCTGTCTGTCTGTCTGTCGGTCTGTCGGTCTGTCGGTCTGTCCGTCTGTCCGTCCGTCCGTCCATCCGTCCGTCCGTCTGTCCGTCTGTCCGTCTGTCCGTCTGTCCGTCTGTCTGTCTGTCTGTGTCTCTGTCTGTCTCTGTCTCTGTCTCTGTCTGTGTCTGTGTCTGTGTCTCTGTCTACGTATGTATGTATGTATGTTTGCATGTTTCTACGCATGTGTGCATGTATGTATGTATGTATGTATGTATGGTAAGGTAAGGTAATGTGATGTAATGTAATGTAATGTAGAGTAATGTAAAGTAAGTAAGTGAGTGAGTATGTATGTATGTATGTATGTATGTATGTATGTATGTATGTATGCTTGTCTGTATGTATGCATGTGTGTTTGTACGCATGTATATATATGTAGTTATTGTATGTGTATACATCTATCACCCACATATGTATGCGTGTATGTGTGTATGTCACTGCACGTCTGCCTACCTGTCGGTACGCATCTTCCTAAAGTTTGCACGAAGTTTGTGCATTTTGAAGAACAGCTGCTCCAGAAAAGTCTACCTCCATGGGCTCAGTCTCTGGGTCGCTCCCACCCTCAGCAAAGGCCTCTTCCGGAGAGTTGATGGTGTCCCAGTGCTCTCCATGGCTCTTCATGTGGCGGTTCGTGCAAAGCACTGGGTGGGTCAGAGCCTGGCGGTCAAAGTCCAGCGTTCTGGCGCAAGGCTGAAACGGTATTGCCCTGGTTGACCGCAGGGCACACGTGGTGAGTGGGGAATTCTGCGCTACGGGGACCGTTTGCGGGCGCCCCTTGAACCACTCACAGCTTGAGCCAGTCTGTCTGTATGCGTGTATGCACGCACGCGTGTATGTAGGTATGTTTTTTGACAGCTCTTTTCTGCTGCGCTCACGAAAGGCGTGCGCCCTGACCTCATTGGGTCTGGAAGAAGTCCACCTCCACGCCAGGCTAGTTTTCCCCTGCCACGGCTTCAGGGGAAGTTCCCTCCTCACGGACGTTGGCCCTTCCATGTCTTTGTCTGGGCTCTGTTTCGCTGAGGGCGGTGTTCCCGTGCCCGCGCTGCAGAAGTAGTCCTGATGGATCAGTGACCTTTGCAAGGGGATTTCAAAATCTTCGCGGGGGTCAAACGGCTTTTGATTGATACATGGAACGTTTCCATCGTTGCTCGACTGGCTCGCTTGAGGCAGGCAAATGTTGCACTGTACATAGGCGTTGATACATGGAGCGTGCCTGGCAGCTGGTTGCAGTGCCTGTGCCAGAAGGAAGTCTCCCTGGTCTCCTTGGTGGTGGTATGGCCACGGAATGGGCTGCGGCTGCACCTCTTCATCAGCCTGCACTGTATAGTTGATGGCACACTTCATCCAGCTTGCCCCGGATGATATCAAAACTGAGACCCTGGCGACACATGCCCTGCATTGGGCTCCTGATCTGTGGGCTGTCTCTTGGAGTTTGCCCTCAACAACCACCTCCTCCAAGCTCTGGGCAATGAGTTTTTTCTTGTCTTGCCGACCGGATTTGGAGAAGGCTGACTATCAGCGGATCACCCCGCTCTGCATTGCGCCGAAAGTCCAATACACCCACGGGGAGGGTCGTCCCACAGCTTCGACAACGACAACATGATGCAGGCCATTGCTTGGGAGAGAGAGGATGTGAAACGCACAGCAAAAGAAATGGAAGAGCTGTATGCATGTATGTAAACGTATGTATGTATACGTATGTATGTAGGTATGTGTGTGTATGTATGTATGTATGTATGTATGTATGTATGTATGTATGTATGTATGTATGTATGTATGTATGTATGTATGTATGTATGTATGTATGTATGTATGTGTGTAAGTATGTATGTATGTGTGTAAGTGAGTATGTCTGTAAGCCTGTCTGTAAGTCTGTCTGTCTGTCTGTCTGTCCGTCTGTCTGTCTGTCTGCCTGCCTGCCTGCCTGCCTGCCTGGCTGGCTGGCTGGCTGGCTGGCTGGCTGTCTGTCTGTCTGTCTGTCTGTCTCTCTGTGTCTGTCTGTCTCTCTGTGTCTGTCTGTCTCTCTGTCTGTCTGTCTCTCTGTCTGTCTGTCTCTGTCTGTCTGTCTCTGTCTGTCTGTCTCTGTCTGTCTGTCTCTGTCTGTCTGTCTGTATGTATGTATGTATCTATGTATGTATGTACCTGTCCATCCATCTATGTTACGCGTGTATGCATCCATCTATCTATCTACCTATCAGTCGATGGATCTATGCATGTATGTATGCATGGATGTGTGTATGCGGTGGTTGATCAATATTCTTTCATCCTGGAATGGCCATTCCTTCGCGGGGAAAATGATACAGTATCTTTCGCGGATCTTTCGCGGCCTCATCGCGAAGCATGGTCCTACCACCATGTCTAGCTAACATGAGCCGGAACATGTCAATAGTCTCAGAAAATGACTTGCAGTATCTGTGCGACACTTGTGCCAAATAGAGTCAGGCACAACTCACCCCATCCTCGTGCCAGCTACCAACACAGGGTGATGCAGCTTGGAGGATGCTGGGGGGCCTCAGGCTGAGAACCTGGACTTTAGCGGCACACTCGCGGGCGGATCTTTCGCAAAATTTCATTGGCGCTTTCTCCGGGAAGCTGTAGCATTTGCAAACATCTGCGCAGCCCGTCACAGCAGCTGCAGATCGTTGCCACACTGTCAGGGCTGCACCTACTCAGGTTGCCAGTCTGTGACAGTGGGGACAAGAATCGGAGAATCCTTTA